ATTAATGTCCCTTCCACCCAAACCATCCTGGGATTCCATGATTCCCAAGAGCATCCTTGGTGGCTGAGGTAGGATTTTAGGATTTTGATCTGCTTTAGGATTTTTCCATTGGGAAACGCAGCGGGGGATGGGGGGAGCAGCCACTGTGATAACACAGTTTGCTCACATCAGTCTCCTTCTCCTGGCTGGCAAACCAATTAAATTGTCATCTGTCCAACTCCACCCTCCCCAGGGATCAGGATTTGACTTTAACATTTCCGTGGCTTAATTCGGGCGCGTGTGATCCGGGAGGGCAGCGCCGGGTCCCGCCTCGTGCTGCTTTTCCACAGAGACCATATGTCTCATTAGCATTATGGAAATAATTTACTTGACATTCACAGCCTTCCAGCCTCTCCTTTTCTGGTTTCCAGCCCTCCAGGTCCTTCTCACCTCGCACCTCACGCCCTTCTCCACTCGGGTCTGGCCTAAGGGGCGCCTCGTTTTGCACCAAATCTCGGTGGCCCTTTGAACCCCAGAGCACTCAGAGAACTTGCTGGTCAACTCTGGGCCAGGGGGTTGAGTTTGTCACCAGGGAGGTCCCTCGGGAGTCGAACATTCCATTGGCATTTCTAAAAATAGGGAGGGTGACTTGTCAGCTCTTCGCCGCTTGGCTCCCGTGGAAGGGGAGGAGTCGTGGAAAGCTGCTGGTGAAAAAGCGTCTGAGATGGTTCAGCACGTTAACATCCTGTCAGGAGAAGTTGGTCTTGGGGTGGTGCTGGTCCATGGAGTGGGAAAAATCTTGCCTAAAATATGTAAATAAAGAATAAAGGAGGAATTGTCTTTGTGTGCATGAAATCAGGGTCTACAGGCACTGAAATGGAGGAGAGTGTGGGTGACGTTGGCTGGAGTGACCTGACATCAAAGGAGATGCACTCCAAGGCCATCCATGGGCTCTGTGATTCATCAGGGGGTTGACACAGCTCCTAAAATGCATTTTTGGGATAATTTAGGGGCGTGAGAACTTGTCTGGGCCTGATGACCCAGCGCAAAGGAGGCTCAGGGGGGACCTTCTGGCTCTGCAAGTCCCTGCCAGGAGGGGGGAGCCGGGGGGGGTCGGGCTCTGCTGCCAGGGAACAAGGGACAGGAGGAGAGGGAGCAGCCTCAAGCTGTGCCAGGGGAGGGTCAGGTTGGATATTGGGAAAAATTCCTTCCTGGAAAGGGTTTTCCAGCCCTGGCACAGTGGTGGAGCCCCCATCCCTGGAGGGATTTCCAGGCCCTGTGGATGTGGCACTTGGGGACATGATCAGTGGTGGCCTTGGCAGAGCTGGGAGGGTTGGACTCTGTGGTCTCGTGGGCTTTTCCATCCCAGATGGATCCCTGGCTGGGAATGCCGTGGGCGGGCACTGAACGCGTCTGAACCGACACAAGGACTTTCTTGGCCACCCCCTCAAGCCCTCCCTGCCTTTGTGTTTTGCAGCTGAAACCCCGATCGAGGAGTTCACCCCGACCCCGGCCTTCCCAGCGCTCCAGTACCTGGAATCAGTGGACGTGGAAGGAGTCGCTTGGAGAGCGGGGCTGCGCACGGGGGACTTTCTGATCGAGGTGAGCGCGGCCGCGGCTCCTCCGGGGCCAACCTGCTCACGGGGTTCTCGTCTCCCATGGGGTGTTCTGGGACGTGTGGCCTGTCCCAGGCGGGTGGTGGCGGCTGTGTCACTCGGGGTGGGCAGATTTTGGCTGCTCCCCCAGCAGAGGCTGATTTAAGGAGTGGTTCTGGAGAGGGAGCGTTGATCAGTTGGTGCTTTAGGGACTGGGCTTGGAGGAACGTTGGAGGTGTTGCTGTGTGACCTGCAGGGGACAATGGTGTCCTGAACCAGGTGGGTTTGGGGTGAACAGGCCAGGTCTGGGTTTCTGAAGGCCAGAGAAGAGGCTCTTCCAGTGAGGCAGCCAAAGAACGGTCAAAGTGTTGATCACTCAGTTGGTCTGTTCTGTGTCTTGGTTCCAAAGGATCCCAGAGAGTTGGTTTCCAACAAGGATGTGCAGTGTTGGGGCAGGAGGGGATGTGGGACAGATCCTGCCCCTTCCAAGGGAGCGCTGCTGGCAGGAGGGGTGGGATGAGGCCGGATGGATGGGGGGTCTGTGGAGTGACCATGGATTGGNATGTTGAACCCTTCCAGGGATGAATTAGTGCCCAGGAAAAACTGGGAAACACCCATTTTTTGGTTGATCTGCCTTGTCAGCCCAGCTGCAAGGGGGATGTCCACCTCCTCCAGAAGGTTGTGGTCACTGGCAGGTGACTTCTGTGAGTCCTGGGCTGAGAAAAATACAGGGAGAGGTGCAAAATAATGCGGTTTTGGGGATAACATCCCTCAGTTTTCCCGACAGGCAGCTCTCACCGTGTCTCTGCTCTGCCCCAGGTGAATGGTGTGAACGTGGTGAAGGTGGGGCACAAGCAGGTGGTGTCCCTGATCCGGCAAGGGGGGAACCACCTGGTGATGAAGGTCGTGTCCGTCAGCCGCAAGCCGGAGTCGGAGGAAGTGGTTCGGAAGAAGGGTAGGTGTGAATCCCGGGATTCCCCGGGCTGGAGGGACGTGTCACCCAAGGGTGGGAGCCACCAGAGGGTCTGCAGTGGCAGCAGTGAGGAGGGAGGGCGCTGGGAAGGGGTGATGTGGCTGTGCCAGGCACAGACAGCTCCGAGTGGGAAGCACCGGGATGCTGCGGATGAGGGTGATGGTCCCGGGAGAAGAACAGGCTCAGAGTAAAGCTCAGAGTAAAGCTCAGCAGAGCTCAGAGTAAAGCTCAGTGTGCCCTGAGCTACTGGTCCTGCCTAATCAACCAGCCACTGAACAGGCTCTGTCCTGACAGCCCGTTAAAACCGGGTTTTCCAAAGCCAGGCACTGGAAAACCTGCAGTTCCACACCAGGGATCTGAGTGGATCAGGAGGGAGGAAAAGTCATCAGGCTTCCTTTTAATTTTCACTGGTGCAGATACTTCTCACAGAGCTGAGCATTCTGCTGCCAGTGCGTTTTGAAGCCTTTGGGGTTTTTTTTGTGAGGCTGAAGACAACAGGATTTAATGTTATTGAAAAGTGGAAGCTGAAATCTGGGAAAACGGTATTCCTCGGAAAGATGGGAGTTCCTGACCTAAGCTGGTTTTATCCAGGCAGGACACACAGTTCATTTTGGAAACAAAATTACTGTTATTATAAAATGATGCAGGGGGGGCTCTCAGATCCCAGCCACTGCTGGGATGCAGGACACCGGCTCCGTTTTCCCACCGGAGCCGTGTGTGCCCAAAGGTTGGAGCCAACTCCTTGGGATCAGCTGCTCCACACGGTGCTGGAGAGCAGAGACCCCCTTCCCTGAGGGGTGTCAGGGTGGGGAACAGGCCCCGGGGGTGCTGGGGGCAGGATGGTGCCCGCAGGAGCTCAGGGGGTGCCGGGATGGAGCCTGTGCTTCCTCAGGGATTTGAGCACCTTGGTTCTCTCCGGCTCTCACACGGAAACGTGGCACCAACACTGAGGCTGTTTTCCCTGCAGGCCTTAAACTGGAGGAGGGCAGGGTTAGGTGGGATGTTGGGAAGGAATTCCTGGCTGTGAGGGTGGGGAGGCCCTGGCACAGGTTGCCCAGAAGCCGTGGCTGCCCCATGCTGGAATTGCTCCCATCCCTGGGGGCTCCTTTGGGATGGACGGTCCCAGGGCTGCTGGTCACCTGCTGGGACACCCCTGGGCTTGGGGACACCCACGTGGGGAAGGCAGGAACACCTGGATGGGAGACAGACACGGCTGTGTCCGGGAGGGACATCCTGGAATACAGCTGTGGTGGGCAGGGGCACATCCAGCAGGAGGGTTTTTGGAGGGATTGCAGCTGGGAATCCCACACTGGGAATGGGATGGAGGGGACAGGAGAAGGGGGGTGGGAGTGAGGGGACAGGAGCAGGGAGATGGGAGCATGGAAGACAGGAGCAGGGGATGGGAACGGGAGGGACAAGAGGAGGGGAATGGGAATGAGGGAGACAGGAGCATGGGAATGGGAGTGGGGTGACAGGAGCAGGGGGACAGGAATGGTGGTGTCAGGGGCAGGGGGATGGGAGCACAGGGATAGGAGAACAGGGATAGGAGCAGGGGGCTGGGATCAGGGGGATGGGAGCACAGGGATGGGAGCACAGGGATGGGAGCACAGGAATGGAATGGAAATCAAAGGGCGATGGGGAAAAGCAAGGGGGCCTCGGGATAAATAAGGGGATGGGAGCACAATAAGGGATTGCGAATGGGACAAGGGGGATGGGAAATCATGGGGGATGGGAAGCAACAGGGAATTGGATGGGAATCAGGGGGAAATGGGAGCAGGGGGCCGGGAATCAAGGGAAGATGGGAGCACAAGGAATGGGACCGCAAACAAGGATGGAATGGGAAAATCAGGGGGAATGAGAGCAACAGGGATGGATGGAATCAGGGGGATGGGACGCATAGGGGCCGGAAATCAAGGGGCGCTCACCAGCGCAAGCAACGAGGGCGAGGGGAGAGCGAGCAGCCTCCGCTTGGCAACCGAGAGCTTTGCAATTATGTTGTCACGGCACAAAAGCGGAGCCGTGGGAAAGGCTGAGCTCGGGAACCAGCCCCGGGACCCCCGGGGGTGCCACTCGCCCCTTCTCCCGGTGCTTCCAGCCCCGCAGCCGGGGAGCAGCCGCCTGGCACTGCCCGGTGCCTGCTGCCCATCCCCGGAGCCCGGAGCCGGGTGGCCGCTCTTCCAGCGTGGAGTTTGGGGACCGGAGCCGGGTCCCCCGTGCGGGACCCCCCGTCTGCAGCGGGGCCGGGGGGCTCAGACCCCCCTCGCCCCCTCCCCGGGGTGCCGGGGGCCTGTGTGGGACTGGCTCGGGCTGAATCCGCCCCGTTGGGTCCCTGATGCATCAAGGTCAGAGCCTGGAGCTTCCAGTTGCATGGGCAAAATGCCTGGAGGCGCTTGAAAATCCAGAGCATGTCAAAGCGGGGAAGCGAGGAGGAGGAGGAGGCACCCAAGTGAAGAGGAAGAGCCTTCAACTCATCCCCGTGCCGGTGGGCTCGCGGCTCATGGCAGCCCGGGATAGGGAGCCCTCGGGGCCATTCCCACGGCCCGGCCCGGCCACCACGTGTCCCGGTTGCCCGCCCGTCCCCCGGTTTTGCCCCCCGCCGTCGCCGAAAGCCGGACGCCAAGCGCTGCCGTAGGGCGGAAGCGAGGAATACAATCGTCCCGGCCCCGGCACGGGCGGAGAGGGTGTGGCTGCGCTCCGGGGCTGGCGCCCTGAGGCGGGAAAGGAACTAGAGACGAGGCCGGGAAGGACAGGAAGGGAAGGAACCAGCCGGCAAGCCGGTGCCCACAACCGCCGCGTTCCTCCCCTCCCACCGCCGGCCCCTGGCGGGGCCGTGCACAGCCGAAAGCCCCCCGCGGGCGGGCCGCTGCCCGAAAGCCCGGGCTCCAAACTCGCGGGGGGCCTCCCTGCCGGCCAGCCCTCCCGCGCCGGCGCGAGGGGAAAGGCCGGCAGCCAGGGAACATGGATGGAAACCTCCTTGCCCCCTCGCGGCAAAGGGCTCCAACTCTCGCGGGAGCTCCGGGGGCCTCGCCCCGTGCCCGGGACTGTGGCACCGAGACCATGAAGAAGTTCGCTTCCACGCGCAGCCTCAATAAGATCCTGCAGCAGTGCGACTCCTCATCCCGCGAGTACGAGGAGATCCAGGCTGTGGAGAAGAAGTGGCACCTGCATCTGGCCACTCCTCGTAAGTTCCTGGACAAGAAATGCAAAATGCCGTCTCTCTTCCTTTCAGCTCCGCCGCCTCCCAAGAGAGCGCCCAGCACCACCCTGACGCTGCGGTCCAAGTCCATGACGGCCGAGCTGGAGGAGCTGGGTAAGGGCGGGGGGCTCTGCCGGGCACGGGGGGCTCCTCCGGGCACGGGGGGCGTGGGGAGCCGGGGCTGGAGCTCTCCCGGCGCCCGTGTTTCCCGTTGAGACTGCCGTGAGCTGGCGAAGCTGCCGCCGGCCACGTGTCCCTGCCGCCCGCGGAGGGGCTGCCCCGTCGTGCTCGGGAAGGGGGTGTGGGGGGCTCGGAGCCCGTGATTGCAGGATTAGGGGTGCGGGACACCCCCCACAGAGCCACCCACCCCTCCGGTGTCGCATCCCCGCGGAGGCGGCCGGGGGGAGGACGTTGGGTGTCTCCGTGTGCTCGTGGAGGGCTCGCCGCCCCCGGCCCCGGCCGGCAGGAACCCTGCTCCCAACCCTGCTCCCAACCCTGCTCCCAACCCTGTTCCTCATCCTGTTCCTCTCCCTGCTCCTCACCCTGCTCTTCTGTTCTTCACCCTGCTCTTCTCCTGTTCCTCTCCCTGCTCCTCACCCTGCTCTTCTCCTGTTCCTCTCCCTGTTCCTCTCCCTGTTCTTCACCCTGCTCCTCACCCTTTTCCTCTCGCTTCTCCCTCTCTCTCTTCCTCATCCTGCTCATCTCCGCGCTCCTCTCCCTGCTCCTCTCCCTGTTCATTCTGCTCCTCTCTTTGTTCCTCTCTCTGCTCCTCTCTTTGTTCCTCTCCCTGTTCCTCACCCTACTCACTCAACCCCTCTCCCTGCTCTTCACCTTCCTCACCCCTTTCCTCACCCCCTCCTCTCTCTGCTCCTCACCCTGTTCTTCACCCTGCTCACCCCACTCCTCATTCTCCTCACCTTCCTCACTGCTCTCCTCTCTCTGCTCCTCACCCCGTTCCTCACACATTCCTTACCTTGCTCTCCCTGCTCATCTCCCTGCTCCTCACCCATTTCCTCACCCCTCTCCTCTCTCCACTCCTCTCCCTGCTCTCCACCTTCCTCGCCCCGCTGTTATCCCTGCTCCTCACCCCTCTCCCTCTCCATCCCTCTCCTCACCCTTTTCTCATCCCTCTCCTGTCCCTGCTCCCACACACCCGGCAGCCCCAGGGTTTTATTCCCCCCACCCTGTGCCAGGTGAGCTCCAGGTGAGCTCCAGGTGAGCTCCAGGTGCGGTGCCATCCCCTCTCTGCCCTCCCCCCGTGCCCACGGCCGTGCCCACCCTCTCCCACTCCAGGGCCTGCCCACGTTTCCAGCTGCTTTGCTCTCCGGCTGGAGCTCCGTGTTCCCGGATTCCCTGAAAGCCTCTCCACCCCCACCCCGCTTCTCCCGGCCCTTGTGGCCACCCCGGGGGTGTCCCCAGTGTCACCCACCGGTGTGGGGGGGGCTGCTCCCTCCCCTTGGTCCCTCCCCTCTCCCCAAGGGTGGCAGAGGTGCCACTGGACAGGGTGGCAAGTGGGACAGCGGCCACGTGGCCCTTGTGGCTGGATGGGCAGTGGGAGATGTGGAGAGACCCCCTTGGGGTGGCCACGGAGGGACCCCCATCCCGGGGAGACTTTGGGGCATCCGTGTGCCCTGGCACAGGTTGGCTCTGCCAGGAGAGGTGCCAGGGCTGGCACAGGAGGGGGGACAGGCTGCCACCCCCGAGGGCATGGGCAGAGCCAGAGGAGCTGTTGCCGTGGAGATTTAGGGATTTTCCCTGTGGGAATGTGCCCTCCTGCACCAGGAGGGTGTAGGGATTTTCCCTGGGGGAATGTGCCCTCCTGCACCAGGAGGGTTTAGGGATTTTCCCTGTGGGAATGTGGTGGTGTGGCCATGGCACAGGGTCCAGTCCCGGCTGGGAGGGACCCCCTGGAGCGCAGGAGCCTTGGCAGGACCCCACATCCCCCTGTTTTTCCATGTCCTTCCTTGCTTCCCGCCCTCGGTGCATGACCAGGATTCCCAACCCTGTGGGCTCCTCAGAGGAGCCAAATCCAGTGCAGTTGGGACAGATCTTGGCATTCCAGGGCTGGAATCAACCGTGGTCATTCCAGGGTTGGCACCAGCTGTGGTTTATTCTACGCTGCTCTCTCTGCCCTTATTCCCACCCTGGTCTGCTCCCTGCATCTCCAGACCTTTATTCCCAAGCCAAAGGCTCTCTCTTTACCAGGATCCATTTGGAATGGCCCCTTTCTTCCACTTTTTGCCCTTCCCTGTGTCCAGACCCATCCCAGACTCCTGGGTTCCCACTCCCACCCTTGGCTGTGACCCAGAGAGCCGTTCCCAGCCGTGTGCTGTGTCCCACCTGGAAAGGGATTGGGAGCAGCAACCCCCTGGCTCCCAGGAGAGGGACCTGGAGGCAGTGACTGGTGTCAGCCCCCGTGTTCCCAGGGAATTGCAGTGGTCAGTCCCTTCCTCAGCCCTGTGGATCGGGGAATGTCCCACCTCGTATCCCAAAGGGAAAATGGGGAATCATCCCCCCTCCCACACTTGACCCTGCAGAGGGAGTTTCCATGTGGATCAGCACCTCAGGCCGTGTCTTAGAGCCCTCTCCCCTTCCCAAGGGACCCTGGTGGCAGTGAAGGGACATTCCTACCTGCAGCTTCCCAGGGGAGCTCTGTCAGGTGCTCCTTGCCCCGTTTTCCTTGGATCCTGTCCCTCCCTGCAGCTCCCAGGACATCCCCCGTACCCACAGCCCCACTGAATATTTCCTTGCTGCCTGTCATACCGGTCCCCTTGGAAGAGCAGATTCCCAGCAAGCTGCAAACAAAGCACTCCTATCCCAGAATCCTGACCGTGCTGGATGCAGGGAAGGGCTTTGGGAAGGGCCGTGGAGAGCAGGGAGGCACTGAAAGCTTTGGAAGAGCTGCCTGGGCATCAAATGCACCCAGCTCTGCTCCTGGTCTGGCTTCCCTCTGCTTCCCTGCTCCCATGAGGAGGGTGAGGGATGGGTGGATCCCAGCGGATCCCAGGGCTGGGATCAACAAGGCACTGCACCCCTCGCCCTGCCCAGCCTTTGTCCCGGCAGAGGCTCCACATCCCGGGCTGGATCCGGCTCCTGCCCGCCTGCCAGAGGCAGGGAAGCACGGGGAGCAGGCAGGACAGGCAGGGCAGGCAGCCAGGCTGGAGCTGGGCTGGAAGCAGGAACTGTGCATGCCATTCATGTTGTCTTTTGTTTCTTGATTCCAAGCCTCCATGCGGAGAAGGAAAGGGGGTGAGTGAAACTGCACATCCTGGGGCTCCTCCCTTCCCTGCCAGCACCCCCCAGCACCCCCCAGCACCCAGGCAGGGGCACCCCAGCACCCCGAGGGGCTGGATGGGGTCACTGTCCCCACAGAGTCCCGTGGGATCATCCCGGTGGCAGCCGGAGCTCGGGGTTGGCACCAGTGCCATGGTGGGGTGCCAGGAGCCGGGGTGGCTGTGTGGGGCTCTCCTTGGCATGGGCAGGATGCCAGTTTGTCCCCAGATTCCAAAGGCTGCCGTTCCCAGGGGCGATCCCTGCCCCACGTCTGCTCCGCGGTGAAAATTCGTGCAGGGACGTCCCCAGGTGGGATCCCCGTCCAGGGGAAGGGGCTGTGCCATGTCCAGCATTGTCCCAAATGTCCCAAATCTCTGTCCTGCCTCTGTGCAGCTTGTCCCGCTGCTCCCGGCATTCCCACTGCCCCCACTCTGAGGCTGTGCCGGGGATGTCACAGGAGGGACGCGACAAAACCAGGAGGTTTTCGATGGAAGGTGTCCCTGCCCCTGGCAGGGCTTGGGACAGGGTGGGCTTTAAGGTCCCTTCCAACCCAAACCATTCTGGGATTCCTGCCAGGGCCGAGAGCCAGGAATGGACAATGGGGAAGGAGCTGGAGGCTCATCCAGCTCCGTGTTCCCACAGCACAGCCCCGGGGCAGAGGGGAGGGGGCCCTGGAGGCCTGAGCTCAGCTCTGACCCTTCAGAGGCAAAACTGTCCTGGGGGTTCCTGTCCCTGCTCCTGCTCCCCGAGGAGCTGGGAATGTGAGGAACCAGCTCCTCCATTGCAGTGGGGGGGGGACAGGGAGGCAGCTGGGCAGGGATGAGGTGTGGGGGGACTCTGAGGGACCCCCAACCCTCCCCTGCACTGGGCACATCCCTCAGTGCCCTGAGGGGCCACACCAGGGTCCCCTGGGTGAGGACAATCCGCTGGGGTGTCCTGGCAGCAGAGATGGCTCTGGGATGCTCTTTCTGGAGTGGAAGAGAAGGATCTGGGGAGACCTTGGAGCCCTTTCCAGTGCCTGAAGGGGCTCCAGGAGAGCTGGAGAGGTCCAGGATGTTACATTCCCGTTTGTCCCAGACACTGGAGTGACACTGGTTGTGCTGGGGACACGGAATGTCGGGGCCATTCAGGCACCTGAGTCCACTCAGATGGACACATCCCAGTTTTTCCCAGACTCTGGAGTGACACTGGTTGTGCTGGAGCCTCGTGGAATCCCATGGACATCCATGTGCCCATGGTCCCCGTGGCACCCGGGTTTCCCATCACCTCCCACTCCTCCTTTGCCCGCCCGGGGGAACTCGGCTCGTCCCGAGTGTCAAAAATAAATCTGGGAAAAGTTTGCTCTTCCGTGTGAGATGGAGGATTCCTTGGAATGTGGCACAGCCAGGAGCGGCCCCTCGGGTGCTGGCAGGTCAGAGCCCGGCTCAGGCACCGCCAGGATGGGGTGGGAAGGTGGCCCAGCATGGCATGGCATGGCACGGTGCCACCCTGAGCCGAGCGGGATCCAAACCCCCCCAAATCCTCGGAAAGCTGCTGGCTGGGGAGGAGAGGACGAGCTCCCCGCGCTCCCTGCTCGGGGCTGTCGGAGGGGAGGTGTCCCCTGGCCCCCCCTGACCCCTTGGCTCTCCCCCTTGGATTGCAGAGAAGCTGGATGAGATCCTGGCGGCCGCAGAGCCGGCGCTGAGGGCGGATATCGTGGAAGCAGATTCCAGGGCAGCCACTGTGAAACAGAGACCAACCAGCCGGAGGATCACCCCTGCAGAGATCAGTGTGAGGGACAGGGACAGCCAGGGCAGGGGGGAGGGACAGGGAGGGAAGGGAGGGACAGGGATAGGAGGGAGTGGGGGGAGAGG